CCCCCCCTATAGCGACGTCCCTGTCTAGGGGCCTCCCAGGACGCCCTTCTGGCTAATAGCCTGCATTAATGGTACGTAAATCCTCTGAATATTAAACAGTCATTTTTACCAAATATACCATATGAGAAATCTATAATAATCATGAATAATGATAAGAATTCATGCAGTTTTTACATTGATAGTATATGTGGTAAATCTTTAAAACCCATGAATGGAAATTTAAATTTGTTCGTGTGTTAGAACGCAATGCAACTTACTGTAATGGGTTAACATTCAGTCTGTACTCTGCAACATATTTTAACCATCATTTTTATGCAACAAGTTAACAAGGGAAACAGCATTAGAATTACTTCAAGATCTTGGCAAATAAATTCAAGATTCTTGGCAAATAAATGACCTGGAATTCCAACTATAACCCGATTGTGAAAGCTTTTGAAACAAGTTGATGTGTATCATTAAAACTGTTTTGACAGCTTGTATAAATATATAGTAACATATTATGTAGACTATAACACAGTTTAATAATCACATATGACATTACGTTTTCAAGCTATATATTGAAAGTAACATATTGTACAGACTATAACACAGTTTACCTAATTTTCAAATTGTATTGAAATATATTATGTATAGACTATATATAATATTTATATGACATTACATTTCCAAGCTATATTCATATTATAGCCATAGCAACAAGTCATGCTATGTAATTTTTTAATGATTTATAGCATAGAATTCCCATGGTTTTCTACAATGTTTTTTTTTGGGGTGGGGGGCATAGTGACCATTGCAGTGTCTCATACGCCCATGATGATTAATATTATTCAAACATTTAAAAATAAGTCTTTCAATCTATTTAAAGCAGGTGTTGCCATAACTTTAAGCTTCCCCCTAAATGCAATACATAAAAGAGTATTAATTAAAGATCGTTCTCTTGCCATATTGAATAAGCATGGTGAACAAGATTTTCATCGATAGAAGGAAAATAATGCCGATATGCTTTCAATATTTCATCATTTGACTGCAATTTTATTTTCTTCAGCTTCCGATCTTCTTGCTCGAGAAACAAATTATTTCCCATCATCATATGAGCCTTACCACCCGGAAACCTTGATATTCGAGGTATCATATTTTTTGGAGCGGAGCGCCCATCAAAATATTTCCAAAGTGTTTTTAAGGTTTTCTGTTCAAAATCCTCAAGCGAGAATTCATAGAAACGCCTCCATTTTCCTAGAATGAGGTCAAGGCCTTCTATTGGTGGATCGTTACGCTTGACCAGGTCACCCTCACCATGCATGCGAACAATCTTACCATCACGCTTGATGTATTTATATTCAAGATATGACTCCTGGTAAACTGGCGACTCCTCGTTGAAATTTAATGATATTGCTCTAAACGATGGCTGGCCTAACCCGCAGTCAACAAGGTGGATGTCACCAGTGTTAACGAGACCTTTAACGATGATAATAAGGTGGACGTTGATGCTTGTACTTGTTACACTAGTTCCACATAGATAAGTAGAGTATTCGAGAGCTTCCAACAGACGGTAGGCAAACACATTTAGCACACCACAGCTTCCACCCACCCCAGACATACATACTTTATCAATGTGTTCCAAATTTGCCATCTCCTGCTCGTTTGGAGGTAACGATGTAAGTATGAAAAAGTGCAATAATTGGAATGGAACTCTTTCATAAAAAGTTTGTATGAGCTTGTTTAAAAAACTTTCTCGGTCAGTCTTTAGTCGCAATTCAACATCATTCATTTTCCAAGAATTTTGAAGAAATTGTATTGCCCCTTCCTTTGTCAATATATTGTCAGCTGAAACTGAGGACATGGATTATAATATTACAACAAGAGCTGCATTATTTTGTAAATTCATTAATTAATCACATAATATCCAGGCGCTCCTTGCGTTATCAACAATATAGTATTGTAATTGTTAAGCTTAACAACCCAATAAGTATTGGGTTGTTATATAACCCTAACCCCCACCCTAACCCTAACCCCCACCCCCCTAACCACTAACCCCTAACCCTAACCCAGGGATAAAGCTGCCGGGATTTACCCACCCGCCACCCCTCCACCTCCATCCCAAGACAGTTACACTTATAACTAAAACTTTTGAGCAATGCTTGCGGTTTTCTTTCCAGTAACAACCCAATAACTTATTGTGTTGTTAAGCTTAACAATTACAATACTATATTGTTGATAACGTGCGGAACGGGTGTAATATTTGATCGAGAAGTATAAATTAGGCAATCTAAAATTACACAGAGTAAAATTATAATCAGCTATTACAATATTGCCGGTTCAAGTGGTATCGAAATTAACTCTTTAAAGTGTCCCTGTCACAAAATGAGAGTTTATATTTTCGAAATCTATGATACAAAATATACGGAAATTCGAAAACAGAATCGAAACTGCTCTTTTAGTGTAAAAGTTATTGCCGTTTAAACATTGAATTTGACCTTGTGAAAAATCTGAAAACCGCGCAAAAGAGACTGGGACGTAATAGTAGGAACTTATCTAGCTCACTGATGTAGAAATACTATTGCATGTACTATCATAGAGGAGGCAATTGCGCAAATAACAGTCACGAAAATGAAAAATTGCCGAATATATGTGTAGTAGGCGGTTGTTCTAATGTCACAGATACAGAGTAAGGCATTTCACTTCATTTTATACCTTTTACTGGAGACGAGATGTACGAAGCGAAAAGGAGACGGGTTGACTTCGTGCACCTTAAACGAGCAATATGAGATCCAAGGTGCAATTTTTATTCCAAATTCGTTATTGTAAAAAGAAGCTGCAAATTGTAAAAGAAAGCTGCTTCAATGCAGTCAGTCGATATGGCCATAGTCACGAAACTCGAAAGCGCGATAAATATATAAATGAGCCACAGTCAATGGTTTTACCAGAAAATATATAAAATATCGCGACAATATATGAGTGAATATGGTCAAAATATTAAATATATTTCTTACGTCCAATTTCTTACGTCTACAAGCAATGTGCACTGTTTGTATTTTAAATTAGACAGGTAAAGTAGAATTGTACAAGTGAAAATCGTTGTATTTGACCGCAGGGAAAACCCGTACATTATGCAGATTTTGTAACAAATTGTGGCATGAAACCTGATACACTGTGGGGATGTGTATAAAATGTATTACAAAGTTTAATCCATTGAAGCAACTTAATGAAATAACTTAGTCATTGCCACATTTGCTAGGAACATACCTGGAACGAAATACAAGTCAGAAAAATACTTGAACGCGCAAATTAACCCGCGCGCACGAAGTGCAGGAAAACATCAGATACAAATCTTAATCTTAAATTTCAGCCTCTTTGGCAAAATAATATTGTAATAAGTCATGAATATAGCAAATGTGCTGTTTCTATACGCAATACAGTATAATATTACTACGCTTATACAGTGTAATAGGTTTATTTATTGAAAAATAATTCTATAATATCAAGAGCTGTCCTCTACAAATCCTACAAAGTCTTCATCAATAGCATGCAGCCTGCAGGCATTATTTTCTCATATGCGCAAAAATGTCTATTTCCTAGTTGTCCATAAACCATCTACACAAAGTTTCTATATGCTGTGCTCCTTCAGAATCTATAAATTAATAAATAAGTCTTTTTAATAAGTCGCTTAATTGCATGTGGACACATGTAAATATATAATAATTCAATAATTGTACAGCATGTACCGTATATAAACTCTCAGTTACCGTACCGCATGCCGGCATGCGTGTGTTCACTGATAGTAAACTCGGGTACGGTAAAGTGTTTCATAATTTCAATATGTTGATAAATAAAACTTTATTTTCCCATCTTCTGTGTTTGTTTGACGGTATTCCTGCTTCTTTCTTGTTCGTAATTTATTTCGTGGCTGCTGAACGGAGGGCTCCGCGCTTATCTAGTGATAAACTGTTGAATTATACATGATGGCGCGACTTCATCTTGCATCACAAATCACAATGTTACTGTGTAGAGAATCGACGCACTCCTCAATTTCCATACAACATTGACACTCTTTAGCATAATTTACGAAGCAGTTCAATGCGACAATTGCCACGTTTACACCTGAAATATTATATTTTGTAATTTGAATACTGTGTATGTAGAAACACTGGCAAGTCACGAAACGCAAGGTCAAGTCACGCAACAAAATATTTACCATTTACTCAATTCTTCTGAACTATCAAGCCTTTGTTGTAGTTGCTTAAGACGTTCGTCGTGATTGCTTTTTTCACGGTGACTTTTGAGCCAATCTTCGTCGGGCACTGGTTCATTAACATATGGACCAACGTCGTGCGCACGAATGATTGGCGCTGCTTGACTACGCTTCACTGGTGTTTTCATCAATTTCACTCGATTTGATACGGCTCAGGAATATAATTTCAGTCAGTCATCGCTTTGGTAACTGTTATTTTCCGTATCTGAACTCGACGAAGACATTTGTATCGAATTTTGACCAGCTTGATTGTGATTCTCACTTAGTATTTATATACTTTTGGCTTAGGCGAGTAGGCAATGTCTTCCTACTATGACGTTTAGTTACCAATTTCCCAGCTTCGCGGTTTTCAAAAACTTTTGCCGTTAAAATTTGAAATTTTCAAATTTCATTGCCTTATTACTCTGTGAAAACAAGCTCAATTTTAAATCTGTTTTGTATTTTCATAATCTACGTTTCAAGACGATTCTATTAATGTAAACTCTCATTTTGTGACAGGGGCACTTTAAGTGGCAATTAATGCAACCTGATGTGCCGTACTTTATTATTTTACTTTGCCTAACAACAGATGATTTTACTCGTCAAGGGGAGAGTGCTACCATATACACATAATAATTTTCAATACTTTTTGAAAGTATTATTAAAAGCATCGATAGTTCTTCCAGTATCAATAATAACCAATATTTATTAACAGTATCGGCCCATTGCTAAGGGCGCTCGTTAACAAGTTTTATACCTGAACCAGTGGAAAATTTAGACGAGTTGCGAGCTTCTGTCTGAACTCTGAAGAGCCTGCGAGATAATACATTACAAGTTCCTTGCTTGGGCATCAATGTTGCATTGAACGTGCATGGAACAAATTTCTGAACACATCTCCTGGTGATAGCAGACATACATCCCGAGAACCGCAATGGATGGAATCTCAGCCCGTTCAACATACTTTCAATGATTAATTATTCAATAACTCAATTTTATTTGCACAGTATCTCTGTTCTTTGTCCATGAACAGAACAATCTCAGCTGTGCCTTCCTGCAGACTGCATAATTTGCGCATTTGGGATCGTTATATATTGCGTAACAATTGCGCAATATTGAAACATTTCAAAAGAATTTTTCGAAGGTACCATATAATACTTTTGTATTTTTTCCCTTAATCAAATAAAGAGAAGAATTCTTATTTATTTTGAGTTTATACTTAATATTTGTGCTACTTTTAGTAATAATAATAGTGTAATATTACGACTTCATTTGACGAAATTTTGAATATTCAATAAATGCGCGAGACTCTCCCCTATAAGGCCTAATTGACGAGTAAAATCGCAGGTAAAATCGCCTAAAATACGACACAACTCTCCTCTTAATGAGCAATAAGTAGGGCGCACATGTTAATTGCCAGACGCTTTTACTTGTCAAGGGCTGAAGCCGTAGGGAGTGTAGTATCGTATTCGCCAACAACATTTCAGTCGCTAATTAATGGGGAGGGAAGGGTTTTTCTGGACATTATTTTTTTCATTCACTTTTGGGTTAATGTATGTTATTCCCTAATTTTTTTAATCAGTGTCATTCAAACATTTTAGTTCTTTTCCTTCCTATCCAACTCATGTTTTGCAGACTATGAAAACACTTTGCCGCCAAGTTGGGCGTCAATTCACAAAAAATGTTTTCAGGGGATGGTGTTATTTAGGGGCGAGTCTATGCATTAATGGTTAATATTTAGTTATGTATACTCTTCATCAAACATATTTTTTATTTCCCATAATTTTTATGCAACATGTGAACAAGGGAAACAGCATTAATCTAATTATTTTCAAACTAAACCACAGCAACGTTTTGAGGTAGAAATTTACATCATGTGCTCTATCTATATGATATCGAGCACTTTGTGAACCAAAACACAAAAACACTTGTTAGAGTATTTAAGCAAGAGACGGAGATGATATAGCGTATATATATATATATATATATATATATATATATATATATATATATATATATATATATATATATATATATATATATATATATATATATATACACACACACACATATATATATTAAAGACGGTTCTTTTGCCAGTATGAATAAGCATAGTGAACAAGATTTTCATCAAGAGAAGGAAAATAATCTTGATACGCTTTTAATATTTCCTCCTCTGACTCCAAGTTAATTTTCTTAAATGTCTTATCTTCTTGCTCGAGGAACAAAATCTTTCCTGCAATCATAACAGCTTTTCCTCCAGGAAATCTTGATGCTCGAGGTGATACATGATGGTAGAACTTGGGCGCATAAAAAAAATTCCAAAATCTTTTTAAGGTTTTCTGTTCAAAATCCTCTTGAAGCGAGAATTCATAGAAACGCCTCCATTTTCCTAGAATGAGGTCAAGGCCTTCTATTGGTGGATCATTATGCTTGACCAGGTCTCCGTCACCATGCATGCGAAGAATCTTACCATCACGCTTGATGTATTTATATTCAAGATATGACTCCTGGTAAACTGGCGATTCCTCGTTGAAATTTAATGAAATTGTTTGAAACGAAGGCTGCCCTAATCCACAGTCAACAAGATGGATGTCACCAGTGTTAACAAGATCTTTAACGATGACAGTAAGGTGGACGTTGATGCCTGTACTTGTTACAATAGTTCCGCAAAGATGGGCAGAGTATCCAAGAGCTTTCAACAGACGCCACGTGAACGTACTTTGCACACCACAGCCTCCACCCACCCCAGACATACATATTTTATCAATTTCATCAAAACTTGGTATCTCCCGCTCATTTGGAGGTAACGATGTAAGCTTCATCGCACTCAATAATTGGAATGGAACTCTTTCATAAAAAGTTTGTATGACCTTGTTTAAAAAACTTTCTCGGTCAGTCGTTAGTTGCAATTCAACATCATTCATTTTCCAAGAATTTTGAAGGAATTGTATTGCCTTTTCCCTTGTCAACATGTCATCTGAAACTTAAGGGCATTAATAATGGATTACTTGTAACATTAGAGCTGTATTTATATTTTAAAAACTCACTACCGTGTCGGACACTGGCTTTGATTTTCTTGGCTTGGACAACATTTATTTGTAAAATTACTTTGCCAATTATTGAACTCATAAGATGGGTCGATTTTAATTGTAGTCCATGCATGCTTTATCAGATATACGTGGCCGCCACATCATGTTTTATATCTGATAAAGCTGCTTGTGTTTTAAATAGTATGTAGAACATGGATCCAATTTAATTTGTTGAGGCAGACATTAAGTAAAAAAATATCGCAGGCTTGAATGGTATCAAGATTATACCAATACTTTTTGCAGTTACCGAAAGTATTGATATAGCTCTTCTAGGGATTCTAGTATCGATATAAATAATCAATATTTATTGATTACTATCGATATCGGCCTATATTAAATAATTTCTAATTACCTGAACCAGTGGAAGATTTAGACAAGTTGCGAGCCTCTGTCTGAACTCTGAAGAGCCTGCGAGATAATACATTACAAGCTCCTTGCTTGGGCATCAATGTTGCATTGAACGTGCATGGAACAAATTTCTGAACACATCTCCTGGTGATAGCAGACATACATCCCGAGAACCGCAATGGATGGAATCTCAGCCCATTCAACATACTTTCAATGATTAATTATTCAATAATTTTATTTGCACTGAACAGAATATCACCAATGTACATATGCATATTAATACATTAGTTAATAATACATAGCACTGCCTGCGCCGCAGGCTAGATAATTTGCAACATTATTTGGGATCATTATATATTGCGTAACAGTTGTTGCGCAATCCAATATTGAAACATTTCAAAAGAATTTTTCGAAGGTATTTTTACTGATACTTTAGTATTTTTTTATTTTGACTTATACGTAACATTTATTATCGCCAAATGTAGCTGAATATATTATTAAATAGTCATAGTACTAGTAGGTAATATAATAAAAAAAGAAAAAAAGAAAAAGGTATTGATTCATTTTATATAAATATGACGAAGATTCAATTAAATATTTACAGAAATGCTTGCTCTCTCCGTGACGAGTAAAATCGCCTTGACGAGTGAAAGCGCCTAAAATACGAAAGAGCTATGGCACATTGGGGTGCATGCATTGCAGCTTAATAACCAATTAATTAACAAAACATGTGCATTGGTAGATAAGTTTGGTTTAATTACTGTATAGTATATACTATATTATAGTCTCCTCCTGATGGGTAAAATTGTCTGGTGTTGGACAGAGTAGAAAATAAAGTAGAGCACTTTGGGGTGTAAACTAACCAGACTTTAAATAGACAGAGTAAAGAGCATAGAGCGCATTGGCCAACGATTTTACTTGTCAAGGGGAGAGAGCAGTTCGGTTAATGTGTCTAGGGTTTCTTAACCCGGCCATACAGAGTTGCATTGTACTTCATTACTCTGTTAATATATTCAGTATGTACGTACTCTGCATCAAATATATTATAACCATAATTTTTAGGAAACATGTTAACAAAAACAGAGGCAATTGAATTTCTTCAAAGTGAATGGAAAATAAAGGATGTCGAACAACAACTGCAGAATGACCGTGAAAAATTTCTCAACCAGCTGATAGTTACCGTTTATGAAAGGGTTCCATTCCATGTATTTTTTGCACACATGCCACAAGAATGGAAGGTAACTGGTTTTGCTGATATTGAGAAGTGGTGTATGTCAGGGACTGGTGGCCATTGTGGGATAATTAACACGTTCATGTGGCGTTTGTTGACAGCACTTGGATTCAATGCATACTTGTGCCTGACGATAGTAACAAAGAGTACATTATTAAACCCCCACCTAATTGTCATTGTTAAAGATCTCGTTAAAACTGGTGACATCCATCTGGTGGACTGTGGGTTAGGGCAGCCATCATTCAGAGCAATATCATTGAATTTTAACAAGGAGTCGCCGGTATATCGAGACTCAATTCTCGAATACAAATACATCAAAGAGGATGGTATGATATTCCGAATGCATGGGAAAGGTGACTTGGCCACACACCGTAATCTACCGAAACCTTATGATTACTATCAAGGAAAATGGAGAAGATACTACCTTTTTTGCTTGGAAAGATTTCCTTGTAAAAGTTTTGATGATGTTCGGGGATACATTGATGTTCGTTCTGGAGGCTATCTGTTCTCACCCAGGGCTGCATGGTTTCCAGGGGGCAAGGCGGTTATGATTTTGAACGATATGTTACGTATTGAACAAGAAGACGGGAGTCTTAAAGAAACAAGATTGACGTCTTATGAAGAAATACTCAAGGCTTACCAAGAGTATTTTCCAACCATAAGCAAAGACATTATTAACCAGTCATATTCAATGTGGCAAAAGATAAAATCCAAAATTTAACCCAAAAATGTAGCAAAAAAATGAGACTGATGTAATAGAAGAACTTTATAAATATAATATTATTTCTTTGTGTTTGCTAGTTTTGTGAGGTTTTATAATTATGGTGTCATAGGGCCCCCTGGGAAAGTTTTGCCCCGGGCCCCTCCCAACCTCTCAGGTACTGCAATTCCAGTGCAGGGTTGCAGTTTCATGCAATTTCTGCCCCGTATTTTTAGAAGGGGAGGAACCAGACCTCTGGAACCAGAGTTGGCATATAGTTGGTCAGCCCTCAAAAATTACTGTATTTGTCTGCTTTAGTCATTTTTCTCTCAATGTTTGGCAATGAATTGATGACATAATCTGATCAGGTTATTTATAAAGTGTCGCAACAAGCACGTGAGCTGATTGCAACATTAGTCTCTTTTAATACAGCTAGATGTCATACAAGACTGAAACAGGTAAATTGATAGTTCAATTTCATTACGATAAAAAGATAGGGCCTCGTATTTACACAAAAACTGTATCAGTTCGACCAATATGGTTCAACTTTGAAAAATTATGTACTATCAGAATTTAATAATGGGTATAATTAACCGCTACTTTTTGGTTGTATAAACTAACAATTTGACCAGAAACTGTGACGTCCAAAGACTATATTTTCAAAGATTTATTTTATACAAGTGTAGTATTCAATCTTATCCATTCAATAAATTACATGAACATTTTTGCTGAAATAGATTCATATCCTGTGATATCCATGTATATAGCTATAAGCTATAATATTGGCCAGCTCCAGCTAGAGTGGTAAAATATCTGGTATTAGTATTTATAGACAGAGTAAAATAACAGAATGGGGTGAATTTCTTGTTTGTCTGTAACAATTGGTTTTACCAACTAACAAGAATGTAGCAAAAAAACAAAAAACATTGAAATAATTTGCATTTCTTGTTACATATTAATGCATTTTCCTTATTTTTTACCAACATTTTAGGCAACATGTTAACAAAAACAGAGGCAATTGAATTTCTTCAAATTGAATGGAAAATAGAGAATGTTGAACAACAACTACAAAATGACCGTGAAAAATTTCTGAACAAGCTGATATTTACTGCTCATGAAATGGTTCCATTCCAAATGTTATTTATCGGCAAGCTTGCACTCATACCCCCAGAAGAACGAAAAGTGCCAAGTATGGCAGAAATTGATCATATGTGCATGTCGGGCAATGGAGGAAATTGCGTAGTGATTAACATGTTCATGTCACGACTCCTTAAAGCTCTTGGATACTCTGCCTTCGTTTGCAGAGCAACTGTAACAAGCTATGTCTTTAATTCCCACTTAATTGTCATCGTTAAAGATCTCGTTATCACAGGAGACCTCCATCTTGTTGACTGTGGGTTAGGCCTACCATCATTTAGGGCAATCTCGTTAAATTTTAACGAAGAGTCACCCGTGTACAGGGATTCGTTTCTTCAATACAAGTTCATTAAACTTGATGGTAAAGTTCTGCGCATGCATGGTGATGGCGACGTAGTGGTCCGCAAAGATCGACCAATAGAAGACCTCGATTTCATTTGTGGAAAATGGAGACGGTTCTATGAATTTACCATCGAAACCTTGGAATGTGAAAATTTGGAAGATTTAGGTCCAGTATTTTCATTAGCTTACCTTCCAAAGTTGAAACCCCGGGCAGCTAGATTCCCTGGTGGAAAAGCAGTTCTGCTAAATGAAGGAAATATTTTGTCCATTGAACAAGAGGACAAAACACTTAAAACAGTAACATTGCAATCAAAAGAAGCATTGCAAGTTTTTAAACATTATTTTCCCAGTATAAGTGAAGACTTAGTTCAACAGGCTTACTCAACATGGCAAAAGTCAAGATTGTGATGTAATGGACAAACTTAGAGAACTATAAAGGAAAAATCACAACCCCTGATTTACTTTCTATAATATGAATAGAGCATGCAGTTATATATTATTATAAAATTCATGAAGAAAATACAAAAGAAATTAATGTTTAATCAATGTTTGTAAATTGCATAAAGATTTGTCCTGATTTACATAAACTTCAGCTTTGACTTTCTCGGCTTATACAAGATGTTTATTTTTAAAATTACTTCGCCAATGAACTCATGACATAAGATGGGTCGTTTTATAAGCACGATAAAACATTTGCATCCGATCTTTATCTGATATGTACAAACTCTTGCCTTCGGCTCGAGTTTTTATATCAGATAAAGATCGGCTGCTCATTTTTTATCTAGTGCGTAACAAGCTTTCGTTGGTAGGATGCAAAATTATTTAAATAAAGAAAAAAAAACTACTTGTAATGATATTTACATTTTTTGTTTTTATTTATTTATTTAGCTTTGCCAACTAGGGCAGGGTCACCACAACAGCATATGCCAATTACTGTGGGCCCTTTCTACCTAACCCACCCTTGTCAACTTTCCCTGTGGGAGGAAACCGGAGTACCCGGGGAAAACCCACGGCGTTCGGCAGAGCGTTGACTATTACTCTTTTCACATGGGGACTGGGTTCGAGCCGCACTGAGAAGGTACTTAGTGAGACTCGAACCTGCAGCCTCAGAGGTGAAAGGCAAGTGCGCTAACCACTTGGCCACCGAAGCCCCCTATAAACTTATAAGCTTATAAGCCCCCTTGTTTATATACTTTGTTTTGTCTAAATGGTTCATTTTTTGTAACATCATCGCTGGTGTATTCTTACTACCCGGGGTTAGGCTAACCGGCTTTTGAACAACCGGTCCATGGTAAAATAATAAAGTAAGGGTGATTTTTAGCACATTGCAATGCTTCATTTGTGGTTGTGAACCATTAGCTAGTCTGATATTAGATAGGGTAACATAACAAAGTTTCACTATCAATTCATTAATTTCCCAATAGGGATAATCGGAAATTAATCGGTGCAAGCATGTAAATCTTATCATTGTCAGATTATTTTAACTTTCTTCTACTTGGTTGAGGTGGGGGGAGGGGTTGCCCTCGAACTATATTTGTCTGCTTTAGTCATTTCTGTCTCAATGTTTGGCAATGAATTGATGACATTAAATCTGGGGTAAATAAGAAGTCTCGCAAGAAGGATGTGATTGTGATTTGAATCAGTTGAAGAGAATATTTATAGTCACTTTTACACAGCCTGATTAAATTATTAATAAAGGTTGACTGACACAAAATTACCAAGATAAACAGGTAAATTGATAGTTACATTTTTTTAAGATTGGAAGAAATTTTAAGATACATTCAATTTTAATTGGTTATATAAACCAACGAACAAGAAATGTAACAAATTATGAAGAAATGTAACGAAAAATGTAATATTAATTAAAGTGTGACAGACTTATTTTTGACTAACATTTTTAGGAAGCATGTTACCAAAAACAGAGGCAATAGAATTCCTTCAAAATGAATGGAAAATAAAGGATGTCGAACAACAACTGCAGAATGACCGTGAAAAATTTCTGAACCAGCTGATAGTTACTGCTCATGAAAGGGTTCCATTCCATGTATTTTTTGGACACATGCCACGAGAATGGAGGATAACTGATTTTGTTGATTTTGACAAGTGGTGTATGTCAGGGACAGGTGGCCATTGCGGGATAATTAACACATTCATGTGGCGTTTCTTGACCACACTTGGATTCAATGCATACTTGTGCCTGACGATAGTAACAAAGAGTACATTATTAAACCCCCACCTAATTGTCATTGTTAAAGATCTCGTTAAAACTGGCGACGTTCATCTGGTCGACTGTGGGTTAGGGCAGCCATCGTTCAGAGCAATATCATTGAATTTTGACAAGGAGTCGCCTGTGTATCGAGACTCGATTCTCGAATACAAATACATCAAAGAGGATGGTATGATACTACGGATGCACAGGAAAGGTGACTTTATCGAACACCATAACCCACCAAAATGCCATGATTACTATCAAGGAAAATGGCGAAGATACTACGTTTTTTGCTTGGAAAGATTTCCTTGTAAAAATGTTGACGATGTTCACCACTACACCGATGTGCATGCCTTTGCCGCTTTTTTCTCACCCAGGGCTGCATGGTTTCCAGGGGGCACCCAGGTTGAAGATCTTGGCAAGATCTTGTAAGATCTTGCATGATCTTGGAAGATCATGGCAAGGTCTTGGCAAGACACTAATCTTGGCAAGATCTTGCCAAGATATTACCAATATCTTGCCAAGATTATTCAATCTTGCCATACTTGCCAAAATCTTGCCAAGATTGTCTGAAATTCTTGTCAAGATCTTGCCAAAATCTTTCATGATTTTTCATCATACATAATTCTTGCTGAGTTGTATTTTTCGACCTTCA